TTGTAGTGGTTAGCGTTTAAATTAACAAAAATGAATATAATCCAACCTGGATTATATTTGTCTTTATGGCAATACAATTGTAAAATAAATTATTTACTTTTTTTTCTTTCAGTGGAAGAAGGAGCCCATGAAACTCCTTAGGGTCCAGGTAAGTCATAATGCAGCCCTGGGTCCTGGGAGTCCAGAATACTGGGCTACTGAGGCAGCAAGGTTCTGGAGAACTCAAGGCCACAGCAAATTTCTAAACAGCACAGAAATATCAATATTTTAACAATGCTGTATCTGTACCAGGGCATAGAATCCCGGTGACAGGATAAGTCAATCCTACCATTGTGGGGAATATTTTAAACAGATACAGCCTCTTTCTTACCTACTGGGCAACACTGCTTAGGTTCCTTGTAATCAAGTTGGAGTGCATGTCAGCTTTAATACATAACTCTCTATTTAAAAGTTCCTCAGTTTTTTATCTCTGAAAGAACTGAGATATGCAACATTTTCTGGCTTAAAGCTACACATATGCCTGGAAAGATAATTCAATAGACAGCTCTATTTAGGAAAAAGGATGGTAATTCACACAGTAAAGACCAATCAATCATACGTACTCAAATGGCAGCTGCAGGGCTGGGAGGAGCCATGAATCTCCAAAATGCTCCCACTGAGGGACTGGTCATTTGATTCAGTCTTTGGTCCTACCTTTCTTTCCTACTATCTTATAGGCTGACTTCAACACTCATATTTAGAATCTAGCCAACACTGTCACTTGCCATTTTTTCACCTTCTCAAGTCAATGGCTTAGATTCCATTATAACACCTCGTTCCCATGACCACATCTTGGGATCTATCATTCCCCCAAATAGTTCTAAATGAGAAATATCAATAAATTCCAGTACATCCCCTTTGCTCACTACCTCTAATTTCTTTTAGCTCTCTCACTCCTTCACTATTGCCACGCTTGTTCTTTTTTTAATTCCCCAGACTCTTCAACTTCCTGAGTTTGCTAGTCCATGCCTGAACTAATTATCTTCCTTACTAATCCTGTGTGTTCGGTTGACTCTCCACAATTACCCTCTTCTCACTTGTCCTTTGTCTCAAAGATTCATGTACCCTACAAACATCCAGTCTTAGACCAATCTTCTGATGTAACATCTCTGTGACTTTTCCTTTATTTTGGTTCTTTGGGAGAAAGGGAAGATTTTAAGAGAAGGTATCTTTCATTGAAATCGGGTGAGTCATAATAAAGACCCCCTTTAGGAAGTGGAATTCTGAAGAAGTAACTTGCAATTCTCTTTCGTTTCTCTCCTCAGAAATAACTTCATAGCTTCCTAATATTTTGGATTTATTCATTCATATGGGAAGATAATTTGCATTCCCTTAAGACTTCTTATAATCCCATCCTACTTTATGCAAATATGAATTAAGCAAATGTAAGAGACCACAATATAAAAATTTATAAAGCCTCAGTTCATGCACAAAATTTGAGATAATACAAATCAAAATATTTTAAGATTTCTTCAGAAACTGCATAATTGCAAAGGTGATAGACTGAGTGAATGGTGAGCTGTGTTTATGCAAAGGCCACATGGTGAGGTCTCTAGCAAATAAAAAATATTCTCCTTATTTTGTCAGTATTTTATGAATCATACATTTTTTTATGTGTATGGTAACTTCTAAGTCTGAGTTCAGTCACTATTCTGCTATTACTTAACCATTCACTGTCATTACAATTTAAAATATTTTATATATTCTATAACAATGGAATGCAAGCATTATTAAATGGGGGTGCTAGAAGCAGTACTGAAAACATGCCTCAAAGTCAATTACTTTGACAAGAAACTTAGAAGTAAATGAACAAAACTCTAAATAAAGCCAAACAACTGCCATCACATGCTGCATGCTGTGCTGTTAACGTGGAAACAAGCAACATGAGAAATACTAGAAATAATGCTGAAAAAATTAAAAGAACAAATACATAACACAGTGGCTAAAGAGTTATCCACCCAAAAAATACATCCCACATTCTTTATATTTATGCTATGGGAAAATTAGTCCTTTGAATTCTGTGAGTTTTTAATTACATGTCTTGCAACTTTCTTTTTTTTTAGAGATGGGGCCAAATCCCATGAATATAAGGAAATGAGCCTGAAACTCATTTTTAAATAATATATGCTTCGTGTGGTTCCGATTATAAACCACCATGCTTGCTACACTGAAAAATGCTGAAAAGTATTATGATGAAGAAAATCAACTAAAATTTCACCATTCACTAGCCAACTTTACTAGCATTTAACAGTTTCTTCAGGCTTTTTTCCTCCATACTTTTACATAAAAGTACGGAGGAAAAATACACCTACAATTCTGTGTCTTAATGATTTTTCTTGACCTTAAATAAGAAGATTTATCAAGACACTAAGAACTATCCATGGACTTTCTAAAAGGTGGAATATATAAATATATAAAATATCTCATTATGTGATTACAACCTATTTCATTAGCACTGTCAGAAAGGAAAACAAAACTTTCCTTTACACTTATAGATTCTTCTGATTAGTCTAAGAATTAAACTGATAAGACAGACTAGCCAAAAAAAGTCGAATTTAATTTCATACATACAGGAACCCGACATATGTGAGAAGGTTCAAAGACAGAAAGATAAAATGAGGTATACATGTCATCCTAAGCTAAGAAATGGGATAGAGGCCTGGGGCTTCCAAGAACAGGAGGGTTCACAAGACAATAAGACCAGATGTTCGGCAATTAGACATTTACCCTGCAATATAGATGCAGCTACTTAGCTAAAATTTATCTCCAGTAATACCTTTTTTTTTTCCTGAGAAAAATTCCCAATTTAAACTCTTCTAGGTAGTTAAAGGAGAAGAGTAGGTTATCTTAACCCACAGGGTCTTTGGCTCAAGAAAATCCTCATGCAGGAGTGATACACTTTTTGGAGACTCATTCTGAATCCCTAGAGTACTGTACCCAATTCTAAAACATTGGGTAATTTCCAAGTTTGCCATAATAAATAATTCAGTGATGGATATCATTGGATATAAACTTTATCCCTGGTTTGAATTATTTTTCTTGGGGAAATCCTTAGAATTATTAGATCAAATAGTATATTAATTCATATTGCAAAATTTCTTTCCAGAAAGACTAAAACAATTTACAATATTTCTGGCAATAGAAAAAAAAGTAGCCATCTCACCCCAGTGTCACTCAACAGAGTATTATTATTTTTAAAAATATCACCGATTTTACTAGCAAAAAAATTGACTGTTTTAATTCACACATTCTATTATTTGTAGACGGATTTTCCCTGTATTTGTCAGTTAACTAATAATAATTATTTCCTAATTTGTGAATTGTCTTTATATGCCCTTGGCTCATTTCCCTATGGTTTTAACAGTTTTCCTGCCAATAAATCTGAATTCTTTATGTATTAAGCATATTAATCCATAAGCCATCATATTTGCTTTTCTAACAGCTTGATTTCTATTTTTTAATAAGCAAAAATAAATAATATTATAACAGTAGTATCAGGAATCCTTTATTTCTGTAAATGGTTATGCCACTGTTAGAAAAAACTTTTGATTATTCTCAATTATTTATACTCTTCAAGTAACTTTCAGGATCTTAGAGTTCTCAGATAGTAAACACAGTTCATTGGGATTTTTAATGTAATTATATTAAATTTATAAATTTAACTTATAATTAATTTAGTTTTCCAGTCCCCTAAACAGTAGTTATTTCCTTGTACTTGAGATTTCTGTTTCAGTTACCTTTGGTGTGTATTTATTTAAAAAAACAAAACACCCAAAACTTAATGCCTTCAAATAACAATTTATTATTATTTTTTTGAAATCTCTTGTGGTCTGCAGTCAGATGACAACTGAAGCTGCAGCCTACGCCCACTAGGCTGGATATCAAAGATGGTTTCATCATTCATAAGTTAAGCTCATCATTATCCCTTCTCATGGCCTCTTCCTTCAGCAGAGTAGCCTTGATTTCCTAGCCTTGGTGGCTCAAGGCTCCAGGAATTGGAAGCAGTCTTATTAAAGCTAGCCTAGATTTGGCATAGTGTTACTTTTGTCATGTTCTATTGATCAAATCTGTCACCTGACAACTGTGATTCAAAAGATGGAGGAATATTTAACTCTTGCTGAGCAAGTAGCCTGTCTACCATCTTTGCAGAGTAGCTTCCACATCTTCTTTATTGATCTTTATCTGAGAATTTTCTTGATAAAAGTACTTAAAATTTGTGTTGCTATAGTAATTTGTATGTTTTTTCTTTTATAGCTTGCTTACTAAGCAGTTATTGCTAATATGAAGGAAAAATATTATCTTTGATGTATTTATTTTATATTCAATCACCTTACTAAACAGTCATAACTGATTCTAATTACTTATTATTTTAACATCCTGGTTCTCCTGAGAAGATAATCATACTATCTGAAAATAAAGATTTTTTTCTCCTCTTTTTCAGTAGCTAAGTCTCATTGATTGCACCAATTAGGACTTCTAGAACAAGACTAATAGGAAGCAGCCTTGTTTTGCTTTTGTGGTATAATGTTTTCAGTACAAGTATACTGAAGTTGTAAACTGGACATATTTTATCAGCATATATATTCCCAGGGCTAAATTAAACCACTTATTTTCATATGCTAATATAATACAAATGAATAGAAAGGTAGATTCTTATTCCAGATAAATTGAGTTTATGGAGCAGGACAATAAAGTGAAGATGAGGCAGAAAGTAACTAATATATTTTAGATACTGCAATATTTTCTCCCTGAAATCTATAAACTTGTTCCCAAAATAAATCATAACCATAAAATATTCCATTAACTCCCACAAATAGCTAATATCTCTAAATAAATATAAAACATCATAAATCTCAACAATATGTCCTTTCTTCTCAAGCTCGACTATTTACACTATATGTAAAGAATCATATTAAGCACATAAGTATTAGAATATGGCTTTTCAGCTTGCTTATACTCACAAGTGGCTGGTATTCATATGGTGGAGCATATTCTTCAGCATATGTTGTCAATGTACACCTAAGAAAGATAAGTCAATATCTGAGAAAAGAATGACTCCAAAAGAAAAATATTTTAATTTTTTAGTAGTATGTGCTTTAAACAAAATAAAAAACATTTCAAGGAAAATTGGCCCTAATAAAACTTTCAAATTTTTAAAATTCCCAGGCCTCATTTATACTGTTAACTATAACCAGCAAGATGCCTTCCTTCAATTACTTCCAATACCACCTACTATTCTTCTATACTAATAATATGCTACCAAGTCCCAAAGCTCAGGTGCATTCCAGACAAGGGTTCTCTTTTCCACTCACTTTCTACTTTAAACTTTTTAACTCTGCTAGATGGCAACTGGAAAATAATACACAACCAGGTAGTCTGAGATTACATAGTTTCTCCAACCTCCATTCCATGAAATACATAGAAATGTTGAGTGAAATACATCCTTCTCCCCCAAGTCTACAAACACAGCCCAAGACTCAAAGCTGGAGTTTGAACTGCCTATCAAGGGCAGGAGACATGACCTTGGGTTCACAGAAGGCACAGAGTTAAATTGCTACTTATAATCAGGAGTCTGTAAACGCTGTACCTCCATATGTGTGCGTGCTAAGTGTCCAACTCTTTGTGACCCTATAGACTGTATCCCACCAGAGCTAAACTGCTACTTCCAGTCAAGAGTCTGTAAATGTTGCACCTACATATAAAAGAGACCAAAGGAACTCTAGCCATCAGACTAGGGAAACTTGCAAGAAAGTTTCTCTCTGTCTGGTACTCAGAATAGGGGAAATTTTTTTTCTCCTATGAGAAATTACTGTCCTGATTCTGTTCCTGGCAATATTATGGGATTAGATGGTCAAAGAAATTCATCTCAGAATTGGAAACCTAAAAATACCAGGAAAAAGGACATTTAAACATTTTAACACATGACTGAGCTGATGGGAGGGTAGAGAACAAGTAGAAGAATTCAAAAATAACTAGGATGTCAACTAAGAATGATTACTGGGTACAGATGCTAATATTTATCTGGTGGTAACCACCAATTAATTACTGTCAGACTTTCAAGATGTGATTTCCAGAGGTGCAACATTAGCATTATCTGGGGACTTGTTAGAAATGCAAATACTTGGATGTCACGCCAAGTCCACTGAATTAAAAATTCTAGGAGTGGGCCCCACAATCTTGCTTTAACAAGTCCTGTAGGTCAGTGGTCCCCAACCTTTTTGGCACTAGGGACCTACTTCGTAGAACACAATTTTACCAGACTGGGAATGGGAGAACATGGTTCGGTGATGATTCAAGCACATTACATTTATTGTGCATTTCATTTCTATTATCATTACATCTGCTCCACTGGAGACCATCAGGCATTAGATCCTGGATGTTGGGGACCCCTGTTCTAGGTGATTCTAAAAATATGAGTATTGGCAATTAAAAGAACGAAAATTAGAAGTGTAACTTTCAAACCAGTAAATAGGATATTATTTAATATTTTTAAAGAACAGTCTAATAGAAAGCAGGAAAGGATAAAAAAAAGTGAAAAAATGTTCTGCTCAGAAGACAAATTAAAATCATAAAAAACTAAACACCTTGGTAATCACAAAGAAAGTAAAGGAATTAAACCCATCAGTGAAAATATTTTCTCAGACTTAAATTGAAAATCAAGTTGTATTATATAGCCCAACTCTATGGGGTGTTTTTTTTTTTTTTTTGGGTTTTGGTTTTCAAGTATAGTTGATCTATAGTATTATATTAGTTTTAGATACAGCATAGTGATTCAGTATTCTTATAGATTATACTTCATTAACAGTTATAACAAAATAATGGCTATAATTCCCTGTGTTGTACAGTCTATACTTCTTGCTTATTTATTTTATACATAGTGGTTTTGTATATCATACTCCTATCTTCCTCCTCCTCTTTTCCTTCTCCTCATTGGTAACCCACTAGCTTGTTTTCTATAGGTCTGTTTTGCTATATACATTTGTTTGTTTTATTATTTTTTTACATTACACATATAAGTGATAACATACAGTATTTGTCTTTTTCTGTCTGACTTTTCTCACTAGGCCTAATATTCTCTAGCATCCATGATGCTGCAAATGGCAGGATTACATGATTTTTATGGCTGAGTAAAATATACCATTGTATATATACACCACATCTTTATTCATCTGTTGACGGAACTTTGGTTGCTTCCATATCCTGGCAATTGTAAACAGTGCTGCTCTGAACATTACAGTATATGTATCTTTTCAAATTAGTGTTCCTGTTTTTTTCTGGAAATATACTCAGGAGTGTGATTGCTGGATCATAAGGTAGTTCTATTTTTAGTTTTTTGAGAAGACTTTATACTGTTTTCCACAGAGTCTGTACCAATTTACATTCCCACCAAGAGTGTGCAGGGCTTCCTTTTTTTCCACATCCTCATCCACATTTGTTATTTGTGTTCTTTTTTAACGATAGCTGTTCTGATAGGTGTAAGGTGATATCTCATTTTTGTTTTGATTTGCATTTCTCAAATAATTAACAGTGCTGAGCAACTTTTCATGTGCCTCTTAGCCATCTGTGTGTCTTCCTTAGAAAAATGTCTATTCAGGTCTTCTGCCCATTTTTTAATTGGGTTGTTTGTTTTTTGATATTGAGTTGTATGAGCTATTTATGTATTTTGGATATTAACCCCCTGTTGATCACAGCATTTGCAAATATTTTCTATTCAATAGGTTATCTTTTCATTTTGTCAATGGTTTCATTCACCATGCAAAAGCCTCTAAGTTTTATTTATTATCCTGTTTGTTTATTTTTGCTTTTATTTCTTTTGCTTTAGGAGACAGACCCCATAAAGCACTGCTATGATTTATGTCAAAGAGTGTTCTGCTTATGTTTTCCTCTAGGAGCCTTATGGTATCTGGTCTTATATTCAGGTCTTTAATCCATTTATAATTTATTTTTTGAATATGGTGTTAGAGAATGTTCTAATTTCATTCTTTGACATGTAGCTGTCCAGTTTTTATGTCCAGCACTACTTATTGAAGGGAATGTCTTTTCTCCACTGTATATTCTTGCCTACTTTGTCATAGATTATTTGACCATAGATGCATGGGTTTATTTCTAGACTCTCTAGTCTGTCTCATTAATCTATGTATCTGGTTATATGCCAGTACCACGCTCTTTTGATTACTGTAACTTTTTAGTAGATTCTGAAGTCAGCAAGAATGATACCTTCAGCCTTGTTATTTTTTCTGAAGATCACGTTGGCAATTTTTTGCCACGCATTAACACACATTAGTCTTTTGTGGTTCCTATAAATTTTAGGATTATTTGTTCTAGTTCCATGAAAACTGTCATGATTATTTTAACAGGGATTGCATTAATTGCTTGCTTTGGATAGTATGGTCATTTTAACAATATTAATTTTCTAATCCATGAACATGGGATATCTTTCCATTTTAAAATATCATCTCTAATTTCCTTTATATATTTTTAAATATCACCTTCAATTTAAATTTATAAAAATATAAATCAATGTTTTATAGTTTTCAGAGTATAGGTATTTCACCTCCTTGGTTAAATTCATTCCTAGGTATTTTATAATTTTTTATTCAATTTTAAACGAGTCCCCTCCTTTTTTGCTTTCTCTTTCTGAAAGCTCAGTGTAAAGAAAAGCAACAGATTTCTGTATATTAATCTTGTATCTTATAACTTTACTGAATTGATTTACTAGTTCTAATAGTTTTTTGTTGGAGATTTTAGGGTTTTCTATACACAGTATCAGGGCTTCCCTGGTAGCTCAGATGGTAAAGCATCTGCCTGCAATGCGGCAGACCTGGATTTGATCCCTGGGTTGGGAAGATCCCCTGGAGAAGGAAATGGCAGTCCACTCCATTACTCCTGCCTGGAAAATTCCGTGGATGGAGGAGCCTGGTAGGCTACAGTCCAGGGGATTGCAAAGAGTTGGACACGACTGAGCAACTTCATTGGTTCACTAGATACACAGTATCATGTCATCTGCCAATAGTAACAATTTTACTTCTTCCCTTCCACCTTGGATGCCTTTTATTCCCTTTTCTTATATGACTACTGTGGCTAGGACTTCTAATACCATGTAAATAGAAGTGGCAAGACTGGGCATACTTGTCTTGTTCCAGACTCTTGGCATATTTTGGGGCATGAGCTGTTGTAGACTAGCCACGGTCACAATAGCGTTCTGGGCTGTCTCTGAGGCATTGCTTGAGTAAGCATTAACAATGGCCATTGTGCCTCCACTGAGAACCAAGTCACTTTTGTATCCCATGGCCAAGGTTTTTCCCTGGTCTTGGCAGTCCTAGATCTCTGTGATGTGAAGTAAGTGAGGTTAGAGCATTTGCTCAGCTCAGGCTGGGGCACATGTCAAAGTGTTTGCAGGAAACCCAGCAACCACTAGAGCAGTCTTCAATTGACCTCTGATCTGCCTCAGAATCTAGGCTTCACATAACCCTTCTAATAGTCTCAGCAGTCCTTCAGCCAGTCAAGGCGGCTCATCTCTCCTTTTCTGAGCCCTAGGACTGGGGTACCCAATTGTGTGACTTGAATCATTCAGTCTCTGGGGCATGTCTCCACTCAAGCAATCTTTTTCTTCTGGCCCCCCCTCCCAGGGGCACAGATCCCAGGTTGACTGCTTTTCTTTCTTCTCTACTTGATTGCATGTGGACTTTTGTTATAGTCTTGGTTGTACAGAGGTCTTTCTGCCAGTTTCCAGTTAGCTTACAGTGAGAATTTTTCCACGTGTAGATGTATTTTTTAATGTGTTCATGGTGGGGGAGGTGAGTTCCATGTCCTCCTACTCCACCATCTTGGTTGATCTCCTCCCCAACTCTATGCTTTTTACACCTAAAATAAAATTATTTTCAAAAAAATGTTTGAAAATAAAGGATATAAAAATATATTTCCAGCAAATATTAACAAAAAGCAAGTGTTCTATATTAATATCATATGTAATTGATATTGAATCAAAAATTATTAGTTATAAAGATCATTACCTACTG